ATATCAAGTGGAGAACGGTTCCCTGTTTAACTGCTAGTAAAGTGAGAGAGCAGAGGGTAAAGAAAAGCAGGATGCTAAAAGAAGAGAGGGAAAAGGAAGAAATTCTTCCCGGAGAGGGTGGGGAGGCACTGGGACAGGTTGCCCAGAGAAGCTGTGGATGCCCCATCCCTGGAAGTATCCAAGGCCAGGCTAGATGAGGCTTGGAGCAACCTGGTCTAGTGGAAGGTGTCCCTGCCCATGGCAGGGGGTGGGACTGGGTGGGCTTTGAGGTCCCTTCCCACCCACACCAGTCTGTGAGTCTATGAAAAGCAACAAAGGCCTGTGCCCAGCAGAAGAGGCACAAGGAACGGGACCACAGCAGCTGCAGGCTGGAACTGGGATGCCTCCTTCTCCAGAGGTGAAGCATCATCCAAGCTGCCCCGTCCCCGTACTGCATGGCCCCCGCATTGAAAGCTGCAAGAGGAGCACAGCACGTGCCGTCAGGGCTCAGGCTGAGAGCCAAGCCAGCATCCAGCACGTCATTCGCACATGCAGGGACTGAAAATCCACTCGTGGTAACAGCACGTCTGTTTCTGCAAGGTGGTGGCCAACTGCGAGCGCTGCTCACTTCATCACCACCTTCCCCTCCACTCCCAGAGCTCATCCCGCTCAAGAGCTGTATTCTCCTACAACCCTTTGGAGCAGGAACCACCCAGGCCCCAGCACCCAGAGACAGGCTCTCCCTTGGTACCCACAAGCCGCTACAATACAAAACCACCAAAAGAACAAAAAAAAACTTGTAGGTGTTTCGGCTGCCTCCAAGCTCCGACCCTGTTATCGTACTTCATACGAATATTTGCCTGAAAAATACATTTCCTGGGACACTGCTGCAGCAAGCTGCTACAACTGTCAACGTAAATGATGTTCTGCCAACGGCAATCTCGCAGTGTCATCCCTAATAACACGGTACTAAATCCCAACTCACGGGGGACATGCTCATCTGCTGAAGACTCTTCAGTGGCACGCTCAGCCCCGACCTCAGCCCATCGCCCTGCCCTGCTCTCCCCATTCCCGCATGTCTTGTGGCACAGGATCACGGCATGAACACAGCTGCACGGGTGTCTCGTCGGTGCTGGGGGAAGGCTGCTGCGCCCTGATTCCGCCAGCTTAGTCCGAGGCAAGGGATTTACCCATGTACTGGAGTGACGTGTCACTGCAGTCACGGCTACCCCGCACACACAGATCAGGGTGCAGGGGACACAAGGAATTAAAACAGCCCAGGGCACCTCCAGCACCAAATGCCCATTATCACAGACTGACCCATCGCTTGCAAGACAGCAATTCCAAGCCTGTTCCATTATTCCTATTACAGAAGCAGAAATTGAAAGTGTTAAGGAACTGATTTGCCTTTGTCAGCCAACACCAGAGAGGAAAGGAGAACCCCAGAATCCCGGTTCCCTGGCCCAGGCTTTGTTGTCTGTTCTGCAAGGACCATCCTGTAAATGTGAAAAAACACAGACACTGGATTCTACAGGAAGGAGCTGTAGGTCAGGATCTCAAGACAGACTGTCTTGTTTTAATCTCTCAAACTTCTCCCAGCCCAGACAACACACTTGTATCCTAAAATTGTCGTATCTTTAACTTTCTTTAGTCACTCTGGGGGTACCACACTGCCTATACGGACTCAAAGGGATTAAAAACCAAGGAGGAAGGAGAATTTTTTCAAGACCCCGAACATGTGCAACTAAAAATAATAGGATGAACTGCAGGAAAGTGAAATTTGGGTTAGCTATGGAGAAATGAGTTCTCCATAGAGAATTAATTCTTTGTGTATGAGTTCAGAGTAGGACTCCAGAGTCTGTTTCCAGAAAAAGGAACAAGAAGAAACAAGACAGAGCCTCGTCAAGACCCGACTCCGAGCAAAGGCTGCACACCCAGACGGAGTGCCTGGGAAAAGCATCCTGCAGCCAGCTCCTAATGCCCTTTTTGGCAGAGCGGGGCAGGGCTGCAGTGTTCGTCTGTCCAGGTGAAGGGACAGAGCTGCCAGATGTGTTTGGTGCTCCATCCACTGGGGAGCAGCGGCGATCCAAGGGGAAAATCCAAGTTATCCCTATTCCAACAGCAGGCTCTGTTTCAGGGCTGCGTAACTGTACGCCGCCTCTTCGTCTGCTCTCTTCTCTTCCAGCTCAAAACGCTGCTTCCCCAGGGAACGTCTGGAAATTTGCACCATGAAGTCTGCACAGCCGAAACATCTGCAGCGCTCACAGCACCACTGTGCCGGGCCGCTCCAGGCCCTGCCTGCCGAAGGCCAGCGTGTGTTCGGCCATCGACACGCAACACGGCCTTCCCCGCGTGACGGGGAGGTCACGCCACCAAGGCAAACGACACTTTTAGGGTTTTTAGGCCATGGAAATATGACAGAAGGGGGTCGAGCTAATTGCTGCCTCTAGTGGGAAAAGGCCTTTAATAAGGGAGATGGACCAATTCCCAGCCATCGTAATGGGAATAAGGGGGAGAGGGGGGAGCAAAAGGACAACTGGGCAGAAGAGCTATAGGGAAACGGATTCTTTTGCTATGCACAGCCAGTTCAAATTCAGCGCTGTCCATCAGAGGCAGAGGCATGAACACGAGATATTCCCAGGCCTGAAGGCTGGCAACCCAGTGCAAGTGGAATTATCTGCGTTATAACCAGCACGGTCCCAAAAATCCGTCATGAGCAAACAGGCTGGTTCACTGTCACACAGCACTGCCCGGTGCTGTCACTGGGACACCAAAACTGCAGGCACAGCTGGTAAGAGGCCACTCAGTTCCACTGCACAACGCTTTCCCAGGAGCCCTGGCAGCATCGCGGGACTGGGCTCCCATCTTATCTCAGCACAAATGACTCGCTAGCCATCCGCAGGGAGGGACAAAAGTCATTTAGGTGCTCCTGCTGGCAGAAATATAGGAGTTTGGTCCCTGAAATTACCAAATAAGTAACTCGAGCAACACAAAATAGTTGTTTTTCAGTCTACTGTTCTTTTGTTTGGTTGATTGCAGTTTTTTTTTCCCCCTGGGATTTTTTGTGTTGGTGTAATTTGGTTTTACTTTTTACAGGCAGCAAAGGATTTCTGCTGTGTTGGTTCACTCCAACTACTCTCAGCTGCTTCGAAAGAGGGAGGAAAAGACTTCTAAAACCAGTCCACACACCCAAAAACATGCTTCTGATGGTGAAGTGCTGAAACAGAAAAGGATCAACACCATGCCAGTCACCCATAGAGGAGTCTGCAGCCTGCACAGGTCACTGCAGTTTCCCATCTGTCTCAGAGATACTACTCCCCAATTATAAAAAAACCCAGAGATTTAACAGGCATGTTTTTTGTCACTATCAGCTCAATCTGGTGAAAAAAAATCAACCTCGCATATTTGTTTTTGCAGCCAGCGGGTGGTGTGGTGCTGCAGAAGCGAGATTTGGGTGAGAACTCCAAGCAGAAATCTGCTCGGGCCGGCTGGTGCTCCAGAAGGAACGCTTCCCATTTAACCTCTTCCATTTCCTCCATTTGCAAAGCAGATTAAACACTGCAGAGTTACAAGATACAATTATGCAGAAGGAGTTATGATGCCAAGGACAGCATTTTCACCTTTGTAGTTCGATCAATATTACTTATCAATAGCAAACCAGACCCAACACGGGAGCTGTCTCCGGAGCGTGGAAGCGTTCCCCTTCGCCTCCGTGTTTCGTTAAGCACACAGAGGATCTGGCAGGGGCTGGCAATTAGATACAGAGCGTTCAAGCGCTCATGAATTCTCTGCAGATTCCACACAGATTACCTCTGTGACACAATCCATTGATCAGAGGTGTATTCTCAGGCTCCACAGTTAATTACACTCCCTGCTGATGGATGAACAGCAAAGCCATCGCTGCAAAAATACATTGGCAGCAGAATGCCAAGCAATGCAATCCCAAACAAAGACAAAAGGGGCTGGAAGAAGGATTTTGGAGCTTTCAAGGTTAAAGCTGCCTGCAAAATACACTGGGGTGAGCATGAACGGGAGAGAGACATGGCAGGAGGGCACTGTCCTAAGAGAGGGGACAGCTCAGCCAGACTCCCAGCCCTGGTGAGTTTGTCCACTTGCAGGACGGGGATTATACAACAGCCAGGCGTGCTCGGAAGGATGCTGCAGTCTGGAGACCCCCGCGGCACTTACGCTCTCAGCTACGGTCTCATGTCCAGACTTGCCTACTGCACCCTTGCGTTACAGAGAAAAATGCACTCAGAAACTGAGGCCCTGACTGGGAGATGAAGGACAGCTCACACCCAAAGCCTTGATCCTACAGTCTATGTCACCAGAAGAAATCCCAGCTGAGGCTGTTTCCAAATACCACAAAAAGATCCCTGGAGCCAACAGCTCAGCAAAGAGCCAGCAACACGGACACAGCATGCAAGTCAGATGTCACTGTGCCTAAACTCCTCTGGACCCTGCTAGGCAAGCCAGGGTAGACACAGCCCTGCCAACTACTCCAGCCTCCAACTGTTTCTCTTCCTTGCTTGGGTGTCTTCCTCTGTCCTTCTGTGTCAGCCTTTGCCTGTCTTGCCATCCAAGGCCACTGGAGAGAAGATTGGAACAACCTGCACTTCCCCAAGGTGTAAGCAGGGTGCCTGACCCATTCAAAGACCCCAGGAGCAGAGGAGTCTGGGGCTGTTGAAGTCCACCCGCTGCTACAATCCACCTGCAAAAAATCCCTTGGTGCAGAGACACCACCCCATTATTACCACTGGCCACCTAGTCCTGGGGCTGGGCAGAGCAGGCAGCTCTGACTCCCAGGTGGCACTACCTCCCAACCCAGCCTGCTTATCCCATCAGAGTAAAGAGGAATCTTGAATAAAGTGCCTTCTCTGCCGAGTTCTAACTAAAACCTGCCTTAGGCAGAGCCACACCAGCAGGAGAGGTGGCCACTGAGGTGGCTCAGCTTGCCATCACACACAACCGCTGCCTGGCAGCCACACACACAGCCCAACCTCCCCCTGCCTCCACCTTACCTTTCAGGACGCTGAGGACTGCGTCATTGCTGTAGCGTTTTCGGGCGGCGTTGGTTGCCACGCAGTGGTAGGCCCCAGCATCACTCTCCTGCACGTCCACGATTTGAAGGACACCGTTTGGAAGAGTTATAAACCTGAGTGATCAAAAGGAAGAGTGTGAGACAGGCTGTGCCTTACCTCAGCTATTCATCAACTCAAAGCCCTTTTATCTCTTCCTTTTCTCCTGCAACCGTATCCCGTGCAGGTCCTGGTAACCACAGCAGGATGGGACCAGGAAACTTTTGAGCAACCCCGCTGTTGGTTCTTAAAAAGCAGCAGGTAGGGACCTATCCATTGCCCGGGAGTCTTCACAACACAGGACCTGCTTTTGGGAGACCAGGTCAACAGGGCTTTGCTGATACAAACCAACTGGAGAGTATAAAACAACTCCAAACACACAGGCTCACTTCTACATACAGATCTGTAGATGCCTCCGAGTGTACAAGTGCCGTCGCACACGCTACAGCCAGTTTCACCACCTGCTTTTCACAAAGGTTGGGCAGCCAGAGGAAAAAATATATTGCAGAGAAGTCTGAACATCATCTCTTTCCTGCTGCACCTCAAGTACATGAAGGGACCAACTGACCCACGGTTACGCCATCAGCAGCCAGGACACAGCCGCCCGAAGGTGCACCCCTCCTGCGCTGTGCTGCCTGCTGTTGTCATTCCAAGAGTTTCTGGCTTTCACAAGCTCACAAACTTATAGCCGGGCATCCAGCATCCCTCCCATTTGCCCATGGGGTGCTGCTGGGCAACGCTTCCATGAAGTGAAATGGCTACATGGCTCATAACATGAACACAATCCTTTCTGCATTATCCTGAACAAAGCAGATGATTAGCAATTAGCATAAAAGTAGGAGCTGGCTGTCAGCATCTCAATTTTCTGCCTGGATTCCTAGATGGCAGCCTCTTTATTCTTGGACCAAGGCGCAAAGCCTATGTGATCCTTTTTAATTATATATGAGATCCATTTTTAATTGCAAGCCTCTATAAACAGAGCTGCCGAGCTTTGACAGGCAGCTCTGGCTTATCAGTCTTCATTACGAAGAGGACACACTCAAAGGCAACCACTAAGGGGAGGGACAGCAGTTCTTCCACAGTTACAGCACAAAGACAAGTTACAACCATGAATGCCAGTCCTTCCATCCACAAAGATCCCAAAAAGTAAGCCCAGTAAGTAAACCTGTGGTCCTCCAGATGCTGAGACAGCTGGAGTGCCATGAGCGAGGGTCATGGAGCCAGGAGGACCTTAAGAGACCACCCATCACCCTGTGTTCAACCATGGTCCCCAACCTGCAAGCATTTATCCTAAATCCCCAGTAATGGCAACACCTCCCTTGCCCTAAGCAGTCTGTTCCAGAGACAAATCCCTGCTGTGAGTCTAGGGGCTATCCTGGACCTCAGCTGCTGCAATCTGGAGTGACCTTACTGTCTGGCACAGTCCTATGGCTGGATTCATGGACACAGACCTGTGGAAGCTTCCCACATGCACAAGGGCAACTGCCCCACATCTCTAAAGCCATTCTCCCGCCACTCAGGCAGACACTTTTCTCAGGATCAAGCTCCAGAGCCCACAGAGGAGGTGGGACCCAGAAAGCCTTCATCAAGATGCCTCATCAGGACACAGGAGAAAGGAGACAAATATTTGCATCCTCTCAGCTCTGCGGAGGGAAAGCCTCCCACTGCGATAATATTTATTTTTGTCGTGCATCTGCTATCTGAGTCTGTAATTAATATCAACATATTTCAAACACTAGGCAAGGCATCTCCAAGCCACAAAAAGACACTCCAATTATCTATCACCGATTCACCGAGGCTGAGAAGGACCTCTGAAAATTGGCTACAGCCTTTCCCCTCTCAGAGGGGGGTCAGCTAGATCGGGGTGCTCAGCATCACGTCCACGTGCTCAGCCAACACACCCGGCTTCTCTTGAGGGCAGAAAACAAGCCACTGTGTTTCTAAGGAGAGCAGGAGCTGGAGGCAAGGGGGAGCAAGGAGACTCCATCCACACGTAGCTCAGGATGGTCCCTTCGGCGAGGCCAGCAGTAGGGAGATCTACTCAATGCTGGGAAAGCAGGGCAGAGGTGAGCATTGCACTCTCAGGGAAGCGAGGGAAGAAAGGCAGAATTTCTCTATCCACAGTTTCTCTCACAAAACTAGCTGGTAAAAGGGCAGCACACTCGGACCAGCGCCCAACTACCACGGTCCAAACCTTGCAACCCCATGGCTCAGTGAGCTACGCCCTGCATGTCACAGAGAAAATTCCCTCATTAACAATCCAATTCCCTTTCTTTCTCCACACTAAACTGCTGGCACACCCTTCTTCAGCCTTTTGAAGGTATATAAACCAGGCTACAGCAGCAGCTCTCAGGACAAGTTAGGAACCCACGGCCTCGTTGCAGACGCAAAGTTTGCGAGCCCTGCTGCTCCCCTCTCAAGAGCCAGGTACGTGGACATGAGCCGTATTAAGGCACTCCTGACTCATGACAGGAGTAAACTGTCCACAGAGATAAAACCCTCACTTAGCCAAAATGTGGGAAAAGATACTGCAACTGCAGCCCGTGTGATCCGTAGGGTATGTGTTTACGTGCAGTCCTCCAAAGACCTCCAGTTCCTAGCAAGTACTCATCTTGGCTCTAGGGAACATAACTGGCAGTTTGGAGCCTGGTGTGAAACCCAGCCAGCACCTAAAACACAGAAGAGATTCCACCAAGAGACGGAGCGCACACCCCGAAGCAACTGCAATCTCGACAGTCCGGGAAGCCACCTCTCAGCAGCTGCTGCGGATCTCAGACCATGGTTTTTAAAAGTACTTCAGAGACAGAACTGCAAAAAACATTCCTGTGCCTTACATACGGAAGTTAGGTTTTGTCCTGAACTTTAGCAGGGCAGGAGAGGTATTCTGAAAACATCAATATGCACTTCTCTACCTTCTGGGTTGTTTAAGTATTTTTTAAGCACAGCCTTCAGCACCTTCAAGGTGGTACCAAGCTAGAACCTACACCCAAGGACACAGACTACAGAGAGTGCCCAAAGGGTAAGGAAGAAGGAAAGCAGGAAGGACAGAAGGAAAGCAACAAAAAAGAACTGTTCATTTCCCATGATTATTCTATGCCTCTTAAAATAAATCTGTGTATATCTGATGTAATCGCATTATCTCAAGGGTTTTATCTACAGTCCCAGAACCTGATTTTGTATATACACCTAACCACGCTATTCTGGAATAGAAAACCATCCTCCTGATGCCTCCGTGTCCCAAGGATTGCATTCTCACAGCCCCGTCAGATGTGTGCACAGGAGGGAGCCCACAGTCATCAGGCTGGCCTGAGATCTGGCCCTTCGGCATGATGCAGTAAGGATAACGGAGAGCTCTGGTTGGCAGCCAACGTTTCCTGGAATTCACTTAATTCCTTCGAAAGCCAGTTATAGTAAATCCAACAACAACTAGGCAACAACAAAAAAGCATATTAGCTAAAACACGATTTAAAAAGCAAGATCTGCAGCCAGAGATTATGGTCTGGCTTTTACAAGGAAAACAATTTTCAGGCTGCCTGTGTTGAAAGCAATCTCTGAGCAAGTAATTTCACAACATCCATCGAGCTGTCTCATTAAAAAGCCATTGCCCTATCTATGGCACGCTTCCCTCTGCAATCCCTTCTCTTTTCTCTTTTCTTTTTTTAAAATTAATTATTTTCTTCTCATTACAAAGCAACAGCCTCCTATAAACCTTTTGATGCCACACTTCAACTCAAGGATATAAGCAGTTCTTCTTCCAGAAACAGCCACTGCTGCAAAAATTATTCCTAAGCCTTGCCCTACCTTCTTTCCTCTCCTCCTGTCTCTTCCCTGAACTTCCCTGCAAGGGAAACAGCTCCTTCTGCAGTACAGAAAATGAGGTTTTAAGAACTAAAGGGCAATGCAGTCGCTGATTCTTTGCAGGAGTGATGTCTACAGACCAACTAACAGCCAACTAATGGTTTATCCTCTTCTCTTGCCTGTAACTGACTTTCATTAAGGAAATGGTATCATGCTGCAGGCCTCTTCCCCAAAAAAAGAAAATCCAGGGTCTTTTACTAGATGACATCTACACATGGGAATAAAACAAACAGAAGGACCTCCTGGGCTACTGAGCACACACAGTGCTCTACAAGAATCATGAACCCCGAGACAAATCTGTGCAGGAAAACAGGGAAGAAAATGACCGTCTCTAAAACCACAACCAAAATGAAAGAAAAAACACATCATGGGTTTCAGCTGGGCTCATCTCATACCCCCCCAGTCAGCTGGGGTCAGCTCTTTCTCTTTTGGTGGGTTGGATGTTTGGGGTAAGTTAATTTTATGTAGGTGCTTCATGGACGTGTTTGCACGGACCCCCTGAACGTCTCCTCTTACACCACTTCATTATCAGGTCCAAACCTGGTCTATCATCTCTCTCTTCGTTCTACCTTTTTATGAAGGATTTTCACATCCAAAACGGTCAGGTTTTGTTTGGCTTTTTTTCAAGCCGACCCAGAAGTGCAATTGGGGAATCACCTGGGTTCTGCCGGAACAGCTTCATGGTCCTTCTCCCACGTGATGACAGGGGAGGGCAGCCCTTCGATCCGGCACTCGAACCGGGCCATGCCATTTTCTTCCACCGTCTGTGACTCTGGCTGTTGGAAAAAGCGTGATAATGCTGGGGAAAGAAGAAGGGAAGGAAAGTTAGTAACTCAGTGTTTCTGCTGAGAAATGCAAACCTGTCATGATGCATGAGTTAAGAGGAAGGCTTTTCTCTCCTAAAGATAGCCTGAAACGTAATTCCTCACCTTCCCCATGCCCCACAGACCCACAGCAGTCCTAACGACAGTAACTGAAAGGTTTCAATGTGCAAAGTTGTTTCTTGCCTCATTTTCTCCTTTAAGGCAACAGTGTGAGAGAAAAGACAGGCAATTAGCTGGTTTCGGCAGCTGCCTTCCTAAATTGCTTCCTCGTCTGTTCACTTGCTCCATTTGGGAAGAACACATAGAATGAGAAAGAGAAGAGGGGAAATGCCACAACCCTGAGAGATGAGAGTTTCCCCTCGCCTTGAGGCACTCTGGCAGCCACAGGAAATTAAGGCAAGAGGAAGAACAAAGCCAGATGTCAAGTTACTTACACAAAACAAGTACCCACAGGCTGGCAACACTGGAGACCCTCCTTCTCTATAGTGATCAGGTTTGCCTGCGAAAACCAACTTCACCCGACTCAAGCAGACAGGATGCAGCCAGGGGCATAAAGATGCAGCCACTTTGCTTATAGGACAGATTTCGTACCTGTCAGGACACTTGTTTGCTCTCCAAGGCTCACTCCCCCTTCTTTCTACATTAGAGAGGCCAAACTTGCTTTGGAGACAAAGCACTAACGTTTGGGACTGCCCCTGGACTGTACGTACCCTTCCCATCATCCACGCACATCTGCCTGATCTTCCTCCCCTCCCAGCACATGGCAAATCCTTGAATTCAGCGGAGCAGAAACCCTCCCCCTGGGGCTGTCAGCATCTGTCCCATCAGCAGTATAACCTGAAGGCATCTCAGTCACACGCTGGAGTTTTGAATATTCATACAGGCCCCTTGACAGGGCAGAAAGCTTGTAGTATTCTCCACGATAAGAACTGTCTCCTGCGCTCAGTAGGTCTTGGTTAAACGGCCTTTGCCGACACAGCAATGCTGTAACACAAGTGCCAGAAATCCTGAAAGTGGCATAATAAACATAATTTCAGCCAGCAAACAGGCTTGATTGCTGGGCCAAGCACAGCGCTGGGCTTCTAAGGACCCCAAGTGACCTCCAACACAATTCTGCGCTTGTCCCACCACCGCTACCCAAGAACATCCGTCATCGCTTTGGATTTTATTGGACTCCAAAACTGAAGGTCTTTTTGCATCACGCACACACATTCGTGCACACACATACACACTTTGCCCCAGCATTAGCTTGAGAAACTATGTCGTTTTGAAAATTTAATGCTTTTACATGACCCATTTTAACCCCAGCGTATTCTCAGCTGTCATTAGTGTTTTTCTTTAATTTAAATAGTTATCACATGTTTAAAGCAACTCATCGCTCTCCGCAGTGGCTATGGACTGAATTCTCCCACCAGCTGTCTGCCAAGTCTAGCTTTTCAATTCAATACAAAAGGTTTGGAACAATGTTTTCCTGGAAAAATTTGGAAAAGACATTCATATATAAGGCCCCAATTCAACCAACTGCTTCACTATTTTCAAATATACACTGTAGAGCTCTTTAACAGAGTCATTTCTAGGGATTGCAAGATCTTTTAAGCTCATGCTATAAAACATACTGACCCTAAGGGTTTAAAAGAACAGCCATCAAATGCCAGAGCACGTTCAGGATGGCACCATCGAAACATCCTTCTCATGCCAGCAGATACCCTTGATGCTCTTTCCTGCTATTCCCTTTCCATCCTACAAGTGTAAAGGAGAATACTTCGGCAGGCTCCGAAGGGTCATGTACCTGCAAAGGTCATGATGGGAGGCAGGAATCCTTAAAAAGACGGAATGCATAGGCATCTCTGTTCCCTCTGCTTCGTGTCAGGTCACTTGTGTCTCTTCCGTTCATTAAGTGGCATCATCTAAGCTGATACGATGAGGTCCCAAAGTTTACAGCGGCTTTAGACCAGTCTCCAGCGACCGGAGAGCGCAAGTGGCACGTGGTGTGCATGAACACCACTGTCACCAGCAGCGGTGAAAGTTCCTGTGGGCAGCTCCCCGCTCCCCCTGCTCTCCCTCACGACTGCACGCGTGTTATTTTGTAAGGTTTCCTAAGAGACGCAGGACGTCTAGCGAGCCAGGCTTACCTCTAAACATTTTAGCATGAAGTGCAAAGGGTGACAGTGCCTCCTGCGCTCCGCAGGGCTACCCAGACAATAACCTGTCCCAAAGCAAGGGGCTGCCAGCTATCCCTCCCCATCACCTGCCAGACCTGCGTCTGCGAGCTTGAAATTCCCTGCCGGGAACTGGATCCAGCCCTTCACCTCCACCCAGCCCCATCTGCCTGCTGTGCCAGGCTCCAGAACGGCTCTTCAAAAGCCAAGAGCCAAGAAACGGACCCGTGACAGATTTCTCATTAGGGTGTGGAGGAGCGTGACTAAACAGCGCCCCTGATTAGGAAGCGCAGCGTCCCTCCCGCTCCGAGCGGCACTCAGGAACGGCCAGGCTTCCCAAGCAGAGCCACATATCCCTGGCAGAGCCAGCACAGGCCGAGAGCTCGAGGGGTGCCCAAGGTTCTCAGCACCAGAGAGGTTCAGGCAGACACAGACTTGCTGACCAGGCTCTTCGCTGCTCCCCAAGCATCCTCCGCATCAGCCTGGGGCCAAGACCACAGCATGCTGTGATCCCTTGTGTCCTCCCCTCGCATCCCAAGGGGTACCAGGGCAGAACGGAGGAGGCAGAACGTGTCCAGCACCTACAGTGCAACCCAACGTAGGCTCAGAGCTGTGCTGCAAACAGCTGGTGCTGGGAGGAAATGAGAATGGGTCAGAGCAAGGCAGGTTGCTGTGGGAGGAGAGGTCCTGCGACTCTGACGCACTGCACAGACACGCGTGCGGGTCACAGCGAGCGCAAGGCAGGCTCCAACACACTGCTCACCCTAGGGCCAGAGGGGTCCTCAGAAGGGGCCGCTCTCCTCCCAGAAACACGTTCCGATGGAAGGGAACTGCAGAAGCGCTGCAAAGTGAGAGGTTTTCACATAGGGAGGCAGGGAACGAAGATGCTCGAGGGGAAAAGGGAAACAAAGATGACAGATACGTACTTGAAGTTATTTTCAACTCATCTAGGGTTTAGCTTGCAAGGCCACTCGGTAAAATCACCCACTGCAGGTGAGAGGGTGAAGAGCATTACAGCCAACGGCCCTCAGCAACATGCTCTGCGCCTTCAGGAACAGAGAGCACGCAGCTCCCTCCCCGCTGACACGTTAAACCAGCTGGAGCCAAGCTGTGTGTGCCAAGGCTTTTAGCCCCGAGCCCAGGGGTGACTGCAGTGTGGTGAAACACAGCACCCTCCCCCTCTCCCAGCAGGCTGATCCGTGCAGGAGGCCATGAGCTTGGAAAGACTGCCAGCCAGCAACACTACACCCCAGGCAGAAAATGCAGTCTATGCAAGGAATTCAGCCTTCTGAAACCAGATTGCTGCTCTCTCCCACAGCGCTCTGCCCCCAGACTCTCCCTGTGCTCATCCTCTTTGTACCTTATATGATTATTAGTAGGTATTTCTAAAGATGGGGGCAACTTCAGCCCCCGCTGCGATCAGATACACCACCCAGATGATCTGTCTCTGAATGGCTTACCTCTAAATGGGCAGGGGGCAATAACATACACAGAAAATCACGGAAGCGATTTGCCACGGCCCCACGGTGCAGTGGAGGCAGAGCCAGACCAGCGCTCGGTCTACAGGGCCATATGGCAGCACAGGACCTGTGCTGCCCGGCAAACCCGTACGGAGCTTGCTCCTGCCTCTTCACAGATGCCAGTTCCCCACCGGAAACATCAAAACAGCATCCGAAGGTCTCATCTGCGGATGTTCCTGTGCATTCAGCTGCTGGAGGTTTCCCTGCCCAGCCTGGCTACAGTCACCAGCCCTCACTCACCTATGCACCTAACCCACAAAATAAACACCATAGAAACCTCATAATAAATCCGTAAAGTAAGGGTAAATCCCAGTCTGCCTTTCCTCAAACCCCAGACACACCGTCCGTCCCAGAGCAGAGATGCTTTCCTTGCGCAGAGCGGATTCAGCTGCTGGAGGTTTCCCTGCCCAGCCTGGCTACAGTCACCAGCCCTCACTCACCTATGCACCTAACCCACAAAATAAACACCATAGAAACCTCATAATAAATCCGTAAAGTAAGGGTAAATCCCAGTCTGCCTTTCCTCAAACCCCAGACACACCGTCCGTCCCAGAGCAGAGATGCTTTCCTTGCGCAGAGCGGATGAACCCGTG